TATTGTTGTTGTTATTGTTGTTTTATAATTGTTGTTTATAATTTTTACAATTAACCTCCCTGTGGTTCGACCCCGGTCTTGCCGGGTTATTTATTACTTCGACACTCCTACACTTGGGAGAAGACATCAACCTTTTAGTCGTGTCAAACACAAAACAAATACATGGAGGAGGAGAATTACACCCACTCACACTCAACTCCCAGCTTACTACTGCAATGGCAGCAGCGTTGTTGCCCTTGGCAGACCCTCTTTCTTTCTTATTCTCTTACACACACTCACCACTCTCTCTCACTCTTTCTTGGCTCTCTTGGTGCCTATTTATAGGCAAAATGGTGCCACCAGCTCCAGCTCATTTTTATTAATGATGACTACCAAATTTTGTCATTTAGGAAGGTTGTATATGGTTGGTGCAACTCCTTTTGACATTTGCAGCAGCCACCAACAACCCACCATTGCAGCCTTTGATAGTAAGCAACCCTACTTCTTAGTGTTAGGCTATAGATGCTGCCACATAAGTGGCGAATCCTAATAAATTTGAATAGTGCTATCTTAAAAAATTAGATTTCCAATTAAAGCCTATGAAGTACTCAAGTTCTTTATATAAAATACAAATTCTAAAGCTCTACGGGATAAGAAAGAAACTAGAATAATAGATCAAGATGGTAGGAAGTAAAGGGTTGATAGTAGTAAATTAAGATTGTTCTTATTGCACTAATCTCTAATTTAACAACTCCTTCAATCCTTTATTTATCTATGCTTTTTAAGACTAAAATAAAATTGGTGCATAATTAATTTTGTTAATTACTAGAATTAGTTCATGTTATTTTAACTTTTAAAACCTACCTTAAAATGATATAAAACCTAATAGTTTTGCCTTAAAAAACCAAACCCTACCCTTAAAATGATATAAAACCTAATAGTTTTGCCTTAAAAAACCAAACGATTTTCTCCTTAAAAAAATATTCAACTAGACAAAGAAAAAGGTTACTAATATAAAAAATAATTCTACAATTAACACATGCATGAGAATGAGTCTACCCCTAGAGTTTTTATCTTCTAAATACTTTGCTACTCTAGGAGGCTAATTTTCACTTCTTTAGATTTCACTATATAAGGCACTTGAAATGTTTGTAATATTTAAATGTGAGATATTATATTTTATGTTAATTATTTTGTAAACAAAGAGTTTGTTAAGATTAGGTCTTTATTTACCTACAAATTATTTTAGATATGTTAATGTTTGGTATTTTAGTACGAATAAAACTTTTGAACAAAGCCTTCAGCTAAAATGTAGGTGAAACCTTTTTTCCAACATCTTTAATTTTTAGAATCTTTTCGTTAAAGTTTGTTTGTTTTAATCCAACACCGTACCCTATTCCAACTATCTTGTTCAAGAGTCAAATTAGCATTTTCTCGATTGTTCCCTAATTAATTCAAGCTCTCATTTTCAATTTTGCTGGTATTCCTATCCAAAATATGCTATGCTTTTAGCCGGCCTATCTAGCTATACAGAAGTTAATGCTCTTCTGCCAGCAACCTGTTTTTTTTTATAATAAAAACAATAAATAAGAACACCATATTTCTCAAGGCATTTAGCAGAATTTTACTTGGATTAATGAAGAGGGGATCGTGAATGAAGAAGTGATCAAAGTTAGTCTCCTGTGATTATGTATTCGGACCGAAAAATCCATCTATGAAGGTTGTCCTTCGGTCATCATTCGTGTCAAAACTATAATACTCCAAGCAATTTTATTAGCAGAAATATTAGACCAAGCAGAGATTCAAAGCGTTGAAAAAAGAGAAAACGGGACAGATTAATTAGAGAGGGAAAGCAAAAGCGAAGACAAAATCCCGTTCAAACAACTCTCAAGCTAATCTAACTAAGAGTTCCATTGGTTAATTGGGTTTTCGAACACAAGAGATGCGTTCAAAGACATTAACTTAGAGTGGGAAAAAGGAGCATACAAACGGATGGAAATTCAAAACAAGAATCCAATGAATTTTAAATACCTTCCAAATTCAAACCATTTTTCAAGAAATTACAATGCGGATTTCAAAATCTTTGCAATATTTGTCTCCATTTTGATATCTTGTACGAAGACCGAGCCAGTACAGCTCGCTGGACCAATTACAAATCAACCATGGGACATACGGGTGATTTATCATCCGATCATAGGCTGGGCTGCTATGATAATCCAACTTCAATCTGAAAAGTAAATCGCACTCGATAATGATGTTCAAGTACCTTTTTTTGACAATCGTTGACAGCGAAATTCCACCAATATAAGGAGGTCGCATGTGCCCGGCACATGATCCATTTGCTTTCTTTAAGCGTGTACGGGTGTGTGTGTGTGTGTGTTTATATATTGATGGCCATGGCTGTCCAATCATGGACATGTTTGCACATGAGTACAAGCTAAGTTTTGGTGAAAGTAGAACCTTTGCCATCAGTCGATGGCCTCAATGATTGAAGACATTTCTATCAATTTTATGTCTATATATGTGTATCGAGGGCACAATATTGGTTATGATCATCTCTATTTGCAAAACTATTGGAAAAGATGTTTATTGGTTTGTATGTACTTTTTTTTCTTTTGGTATGCATATATTTCCATTTAATTGATAATGTATTTGAGATTTTTTTACAATTTAAAAAGCAATTGAATATTGATTATTGCTATAGTTCTTTTAAAAGATTAGGTTGTAAATTAAGTTGATCCGCACGGTGTTATTATTTAGATTAAGGGCAACAATATAATGCGGTTACTTACAAGATGTTTTTAATAACATTTCAAATGCATTTAATATATTGTTTTCTGTAAATTTTACACAATTTATAAAGAGAGGAATAATATAGTGGGTCGCTTGCCTAAATAGCAAAATTAATTTAGTTCTATGGTTATAATTTCATTTTTTTTTTATGTTTAATATTTGATCATGTTTTAGTATAGTAAGTTAATAAGAAAGCTATTTTTTTTTATTAACGTGGGTGTCCGGGCCAGCTTGCACGCACCACGACTAATCCCACGGTCCACTGAACATTCTGTAAGCCCAGGGAACAGGTAAGGCACCGCGAGGGTGACAGGCGTACCACACAGAGAGGAGCCAGCAGATAGAGGAAGGAAACCACTCGCCAGCCCCACTGTCACTGGGACGCGAACCAAAGTTCGAAAGAAGACGAGCAGCACCTTATGCTACTGAGCTACAAGCTGCTTGGTATAAGAAAGCTATTTTAGTTTGCTTGGAAGGAGTCTTTCTTTCTTTTAATGACTATATCATCTTTATTTAATAAATTTCTCGTCTTTCATTTAATTAAAAAAATGTTACATCTTTTATATATATATATATATATATATATATATATATATGTGTGTGTGTGTGTGTGTGTGTGTGTTATAGTGCATTTTAATTAATCTAGATATTCTTATAATTAAAGACTTAAACGAAGTTGTGCTGTATAATATCAAACAGATTAAGATGCAGGAACGTAGCTGCCAAGCCAAAACCCTCCACGGTTTAACTTATTAAGGTGACTGCTTCTCATGATAAGATATTTCTGTAGTAGCAAGTATAAAATGGTCAATAGGTCCCTTCATAAAACAAAATAGAGCAAGTACGTAGCTAGCTAGAAGGCACACAATATTTAAGACATAGGATTCCTCAGGTCATGCAAGCCCTAAATAGCTTACAGAAATACTGAAAACAAAAGGCTAGCGATTACAATAGTAGCAGCAAGCAAGCCAATTGAAAAGAAAAGAAAAGAACAATTGGGTTTTACAACAAGAGCGAGGGGGCGAAAAGGAGCTATTCGATATATAAAACACCGCGAGAGCGCACCTTCTAGCACTAAAAATATAGTAGTGTGTGGACATATATATATACACGTAAGAAGGTCATTGGTAGGGACAAAAATTAGAAAAGACAAAGCTAAGCAGAGGAAACACGTACAGTAGAATTGCTAGAATAATGGATGGATGGAGTTGCAATAATGAAGATGAAAAGTGTTATTTGAACCCCCCCTCCCCCCCACCCTTTTTTTTTCTAGTCCTGTTAATGCCGCAGTTCTTTTTTGTTCGTGTTCATTCGATCGGCCACAATCCCTCAATCTTTTTCTCGCTCTTCACCCGAAACTTAGCCCTTCTCCTTCTTCACATTTGGCTATATGGTCTGCATGTTCATGTGCCAAGGCACCAGTATTGCCAACCAGTTCTTTGGCCTTTAACGATTCTCTATCCCAATCTGTCTTGTATACTACTGTTAAAATTGAGACTACACATACAACTTGAGCCGCTAGAAGACCATAACATAGACCCACAAACCCTAGTTTCCAAACAAAGGCTAGGCCTATGGCCACAGGTGCACCCACCATGTAAAAGGAGTAAAAGTTAATCCCTGCCCCGATGCCGGGCCTAGCACTCCCTCTTAAAATTCCACAGCTTGTCGTTTGTGGACAATTTGCAAGCTCACATAATCCAATTATGGGCAGTACAACCATAGTTAGCTCGAGAACCTCATCATCTTTTGTAAAAACTTTCCCCCATGCTTCTCTCCCTAGGGTGGTCCATAGCAAACCAAACAATGAGCTTAATAAGGCTAAGCCTATTGCAACCACCGTGGCCAAACGAGCTTTCTGTGGCCTGCCTGCTCCAAGCTCGTTGCCCACCCGAGTCGACACCGATGCACTCAGTGATGTTGGCAACGTGTACATTAGGGATGTGGTCTGAATTATAATAGCTGATGTTGCTAGGGCGGCTTGAGGGTTGTGCAAGTAACCGGCTAGAATTGTCATGAACTCATACCACCACCACTCTAAACAAACAGCTATGCAACTTGGAATGGCAAGCCGGAGTAGGAGTCCCCATTCCTTTCTTAGTGAAGTAGAAGGAGATGATAGAAATGGTTGTTGTCTAATTAGAGGTGTGGACGAGGGCTCCTCCTCAGTGGCCCGACTAAATAAATACATGTAGCATACGAGGAACAAGAGGGTGTTAAAATTGGTGATAAAAGTAGAAATTGCAATTCCAGGGACTCCAAGACAAAGAGTGAAGGCTAGAAATATGGTGACAGGAACATGCAGAACAATGGAGACCAGGGTGCACCACATTAATGGCCATGTAGTTCCTTTACTGCGCAAGTAAATTCGTAGAGGGTGCAGGAGGCTATTAGCAATAAGATCAGGAATGGAAAATCTACAGTATAAACTTGCGATTCTGGTTATGTCAGGATCTTGATGGAGGCTAAGCAAGAGGGGTTCAAGATTGACCCACAACAAGCCAATAGGTATTGAAGCAAGCAGTAACATAAGAATTGTTCTTCTTAGAGTATGAGATGCTACTAATAGATTTCTCGAACCAAATGCTTGACTACATAGAGGCTCCATCCCCATCGCTAGGCCGGAAAGAACTGAGTAGCCACTGATGTTGGTGAATCCAATAGCTAAGGCACCACCTGCGAGCTCCAAGCTTCCTAGTCTTCCCATGCAGACTACTAAGATCATGTTTTTGAGATACCCCACCAAGCTCAAAGCTGCTATAGGGAAGCCTATGTCTGTCATTCTTTTTAGCTCCTCCACAACCTAATGGAAAGAAGAAGGATAAACAAAATAACAAGTGCTGGCGTCAGTATGCTTATTAAGAAATCAAGGAGAAGATTTTCTGTTTGTGCTTAATTGAGATCAATTTCTACCTCTGGCATTGTTGGGTACTTGTGGGATTTCTCTTCTGTAACCATTTTTGCTACTTTTTGCCAGTATCCTTTTCTTTCTTTTTTTTCCTTTTCTTGTTCCTGAGAGAGAGAGAGAGAGAGAGAGAGAGAGAGAGAGAGAGAGGTCAAAGTAAGTGTTTTCATGCTTCAAGAGGGAGCTTTATAGCTTATATGGTAGGAGGGGTCGTAGTGGGGTTCTCAGACGTTGTTTTTATATATGTCTGTATTACACTGCTAGCTCTTCTGCTCCTCAAAGCTCACATGCTACAATATCAATAATAAAAATAAAAATTATGATCAAATAACTATCTCAAGTACCAAATTCATCATAAGTTTTGAAGTTTGATCATTTTTCTCAAAAGTTGAAGATTTCAAATAAAAACAATTAAATTAAAAACCTAGCCAGAGTGGAGTTCAATTATAAAAATGATGTATAAATTAAAAGCATCACATAAAATAAATTAGAGAATAATATAAATTATATATTAGAAGTTCACTTAATAATTTAAATTTTTAAGTTGAATTAACTTTTTAATATAATATCATATTCTTAATGATTAAATAATTATAAGTTTGAATATAACTATATTTACTTATTTAATAAAAATTAAATATAAGATGTATATATCTATAAAGGTATGTTGAAAAATAATATATTTAACTTTAAACTTTCATATTGAATTAATTTAAAACCAACCCAAAACGAAGTCAGAAAAATAATTAAATATACAATTAACATTTTTAAATCTTGACAAAAGTTAAACTAGGTCTAAAATTTAAACCTTTTTTTTTTGTCAAACAACATGTGGGTAATTTTGACTTATTTATTTTTTCCACGAACGTATCTTCAAAACGTCCCACATCAATTGATATCCTAATATGTTGAAAAGAAACTAAAGACCAAGTATCGAGCTAGAAGTCGTACCAATGATAATAATTAGTAAATCTTAATCACCATATATATACCATATACTATATACATGTTGATTTTTATCAAGAAATGAAGATTCCGGCAAGAGTCTTAGATTGATGAGGAATCTCTCCATGTATAAATTGCATGCTATCTATATGAATATTAAGGACGTAATTGGGAGAGTCTGCGTCGTAAGCAGATTTGAAATTTAGATTGTATTGGAAGCAAAATGCCTTTTCTCCACATGCTCTTCGAAAGAGTCTTTTCGATGGATCCAAAACCACAGGAGCATCAATCGAAAGTAAACAAGTAGCTCTCTCACGCTTTAAAATGCAGCACGCCCCTTGTCTGTTAAAGGCACTACCGTTAGGGATCGATTTGGCTCCTTTCTATATCAGTTTCCTATATTTCTTCGTTTATAAGCTTCATTTCATTCTTTTCTTTATCACGAATTACACTCGCATATATATATATATATATATATATATATATATATATATAAAAAAAA